CCCTCCATGGTTGCCACCTTGCCAAGAGAGGACACTTTTTGCAGTATCTTCTGTCACTAAAGTACTACCAAGTAGGAATCAGCATAAACCTCACGCATGGATTTGGGCATGTGGGGAATGTGCACACATTTCACTGCCTGAGCATGGATTGTGCATGTACTGGGAAGCTATGCCTAATCATAAGTTCCCCATGCACCTGCAACAGATTGATTCAGGCGTTTGGTGCTCATTCCTGCGGCAGAAATCCTACTTGCATGGAAGTGGCTCTTTTCGGGCGGGGACAATTATGCATCTGCTGGGGGACACACCCATTGTGTTCATCATCACCAAATGGGCAGTGCTAGTAAAGGTAAAGGGACCCCTGACCATTAGGTCCAGTCGTGGCTGACTCTGGGGTTGCGGCGCATCTTGCTTTATTGGCTAAGGGAGCTGGTGTACAGCTTCCAGGTCATGTGGCCAGCATGACTAAGCCACTTCTGGCGACCCAGAGCAGTGCACGGAAACACCGTTTACCTTCCCGCCGGAGTGGTACCTATTTATCTACTTGCACTTTGATGTGCTTTTGAACTGCTAGATTGGCAGGAGCAGGGACCGAGCAACGGGAGCTCATCTCGTCGCGGGGTTTCGAACCCCCAACCTTCTGATTGGCAAGTCCTAGACTCTGTGGTTTAACCCACAGCGCCACCCGCATCCCTATGGGCAGTGCTAGCTCTTCACAATCCTGCTGGGCCCTTAATACTTTTGGAAATTAACTTTAAACAGGGCAAACGCAATGTGTAACATCATACGTAGCAATCTAAACACTGGTTGTTTGGGAACGGGTGAATTAGGTAGGTTCACATGAAAATCAGAACCAAACCAAATTTCTTCCTGATCCCTAAGGGCAGGTCACTTCTTGTGCCACAGCTGGGGTGCTGTTATGGCATATTCTGATCAAGAGCAATGAAATCAGGCAATGTTCTCAAAACTGCTCAGGCTGCTAATGTATGCCGGCTAAGCAGGGGTCCTATATACCTGAAGGAGCATCTCCACCCCCATCGTTCTGCCCAGACACTGAAGACCAGCACCGAGGGCCTTCTGGCGGTTCCCTCACTGCGAGAAGCAAAGTTACAGGGAGCAAGGCAGAGGGCCTTTTCGGTAGTGGCGCCTGCCCTGTGGAACACCCTCCCATCAGATGTCAAGGAAATAAACAACTATCTCACATTTAGAAGACATCTGACGGCAGCCCTGTTTAGGAAAGTTTTTAATGACTGATGTCTTACTGTATTTTAAATCTTTTGTTGGAAGCCGCCCAGAGTGGCTGGGGAAACCCAGGCAGATGGGTGGGGTATAAATAAGTTGTTGTTATTATTATTATCATCATCATCATTATGGAGCTCGGTGAGACATACCTCTGAGAAATCATGCATAGCAATGGGATGTAAGTCAAGTAGCAACACATGAAAAATCCATACAAGCCACAAATTCATTGGCTGTTATGTACAGTAGTGTGAGGAATCCATCCGAGTGCTTTAAACTTCCTCTTTCCCCTCTGATACTTGGCAGAACAAGCAAAGCAGGATCTCTGACACATCAGCCTGCTGGCAACGGTCTTAGCAAACTGTTCGTGTATCCCGACCCCCTGCTGTTTCATATCCTCTGATGCCTCACAGGGGAGCAGCCACAATTTCCTGTGGGGTCCCAGTAATGAACTGGCAGATGTGCAGGGTTTCTTTCACAGACAAATCAACATAGAAATGTGGTATTTTTGCTTGCTGTCTTTGATGGAGATGACTCTGACTATCAGAGTAAAAGAATCTAATCAGATTTATGGTAGCTGCTGAGCTACACAATTACTCAGCGCTGGAAAAATGCTCCACACAACATTTTGAAAAACCTGGGAGATGCAAGATACTTTTTCTTGCTGTGGTGCAATTTTATTTCTGATGTGAATAATGCATATCAGAGAAGGACTATTCCATTACAATCGAGGCAATTGTGGCATGAGTCATGAACAATAGCAATATGAATTGGGGTGTGTAGCATTATCACATTTCTTCAGAAAGCTTTCTTCTTTATGGAGAATATGTCTGCTTCACTCTAAAGATAATTACTGTGATACATAATATTATTGCTGTACAATAATATAGGGTTATTTTTTTCAATAAGAAAGGAATAAATGAGGTCTTTGAACTTTGGAAAACCAGTGCTTTGTATTCTTCTAACCCATATCAAATCTTCCGTAAATCCTACACAATGAGGCACTTTGGCGGAGAAATTTCAACAGTCAGGTAGCAAATTGCCATCGTTACTTCCTTAAATCTAATTCCCTCCATTGTGCATTTCTGCAGATAATCTTTATATTTAGGTCAGTGAAACTGTATTAGTTAAATGTCACAAAGGAGCTCAGTCTAAACAATGGAAATGCTTCTAGGCGGTTTGCTTTCTTTGGGGAAAAAGCTCCCACCTCCTTTTTGATAAGACAAGGGAGGGGCATTCCTTTCACTGCTGAGAGAAACCCAATAACTTCCTAAATAAATCAAAAACAGATATAAATATAGTCACCCCAAAACTTTCTAAGTTTCACAAGCTATTATCAACATTATCATCATGTTAGCAGTGCATGAAAATGGATGAAATTGAAAGCTTAGGTTTACCACTGCAACATTCACTTTATATGGCTTTCATGATCAGGGCATGTATATATTTCATGTTTATATTGCAACAGCCATTGGCTACAAGCAATAATTAAACTTGAAATATATGGCTTTCAAATCATTCTCTGAAGTAGGGGTAGTCAGAATCCATCAGTTTCTGGTTCTCCCAGTTTCTCCATTTCACCATATTCTCACATCAATCTGCGACTTACTATTTTTAAGCTGCCTCGCCCACAAAAATTTATCAGCATTTTAGTGCGAATTTCTCCCAATACTGTACACACGTTTTCATGTGCTTAACATAGATGGGTTTGCAAAACAATTTTCTTTCATGTAATACATTTTTGTATATTATTTTCACACATATATTTGCACACTTTGATTCGCACTTTACCCTGATTATATGCATTTTTGTACATGATACCTGGCTGGAGAACTGCTTTGCAAAATTCAGAGGAATTTGACTTTGAAAGGATGGCTGGGCTGCAGTGTGCATACTGCTGCTGCTGCTGCTGCTGCTGTTGTTGTTTAGTCGTTTAGTTGTGTCCGACTCTTCATGAGCCCATGGACCAGAGCACACCAGGTACTTCTGTCTTCCACTGCCTCCCACAGTTTGGTCAGACTCACGTTGGTAACTTCGAGAACACGGTCCAACCATCTCGTCCTCTGTCGTCCCCTTCTCCTTGTGCCCTCCATCTTTCCCAACATCAGGGTCTTTTCCAGGGAGTCTTCTCTTCTCATGAGGTGGCCACAGTATTGGGAGTCTCAGCTTCAGGAACTGTCCTTCCAGTGAGTATTGAGGGCTGATTTCCTTAAGAATGGATAGGTTCGATCTTCTTGCAGTCCATGGGACTCTCAAGAGTCTCCTCCAGCACCATAATTCAAAAGCATCAATTCTTCGGCGATCAGCCTTCTTTATGGTCCAGCTCTCACTTCCATACATCACGACTGGGAAAACCATAGCTTTAACCAAACGGACCTTTGTTGGCAAGGTGATGTCTCTGCTTTTTAAGATGCTGTCTAGGTTTGTCATTGCTTTTCTCCCAAGAAGCAGGCTATAGAATGGATGAATTAGGTAGGTTTGCCTTGAGATACAAACTGAATGGAATTTCTCTACCATCCCTAATCTAAACTCAACACCTGCATTAGCTGGCGTGAACAATACAGGGATGCCATTCTTGGATGCGCTAGGACATTTGGTCTTGAGTAGAGTGCTCAGCTAAATAGTTGCCTCTTTTTCCCCAAACGAAATTTCTTCATTTCTTTGATTGCCTATGAACAGTCCTTCAGAAAACATTATTCATCTTACACTACTCCCAAAGGGAATCTAGATAAATGCCTTTTGCAGCTTTAAAGCCTGATTTATTGTACTCTTCAAGTTCATGCATAACCTAAAGCATCTGTTGGCAAAAAAAAGCAAGTGTTTCCAAAGTGTTGTTCATGACCAATCTGGGCACGTAGGAAGCCTTCTGAATGGGTCTTTGGAGAAGACAAGAGAGCAGATGAAGTGAATGGAGTTTCACCCTTAGTCAATGCTGGGAAAGGTTCACACTCATCCCCTTACATATGTGGAGTGATAATACACTCACCGATACTGTCTCCATGTTCACAGATACAGTAGGATGTCTGCAGAGAGGCAACAGCTGCCGGAGTGTAGGCACTCTATGCAACGGTAAAGCCTGAATGGTTGAGGTTCATGCAGATTTGTGCACCCTCCAGTCTCTCTCACTCCCTTCTCCATGTCTTTACAGTCAGAGGGGAATGAGTGACAGGCCCTATAGACATAGCTGTCAAGTGTCCCTTATTTGAAGGGACAGTCCCTTATTCCAGCGCCATGTCTCGCTGCTGTCCCTTATTGATGGATGTCCCTTAAATGATGTCCCTTAAATTTCAAAGGAAGCAGCTCCTCTCCCTCCCTCCCTGCTGGCCAGGGAGGAGGGAGGCTCCAACTGTGTTGCTTGGCTGTGTTGCTCACCCAATAAGAAGTCTAAGAATGACTGGGGGGTGGGGCTTGCATGCCTTGTGCTGATCAAATCGGCTGCATTCCCTGGGGACTCGCCTTTGCTCAGCACTTCCCAGCGGAGAGGTGACGGTGGTTTTCCTTGAGGCTTCGTTTGGCTGTTGGCTGGGCTTTCTGCCTTTGGCTCAGAGGGGCTCAGAAGTTGAACATACCTGTGCTGAGTGCTCGGATCAGAATCGAATGGAAACGTCATCGATGGCCCACTCACCCTTGCCGGCGTAAAGGTCTGTCTGGAGCGGGGGCACATGGTGGGGGGAAAGGAAAGGAGATCTCGTGGGAGGGGGGGAGGCTGTGTGTGTCTGTGGCTAGTTAATGCAAGCTGAGGGCGTTTTTGAATGCTGGATGCCATTTTGTTGCACGTGCTGCTGCAAACTTTGCAGTGCAAAGCCAGGCCGGGGAGCCATCTTAAGTTGAGGCTTCATAGGCCTTGTGGTGCATGTGATTCAGATTCTATTCAGTTGAACCTCTGGTTACAAAGTTGGTTGGACAGTGTTCTCGAAGCTACCAGCATGAGTTTGACCAGACTGCAGGAGGACAGGAAGACTGGAGTGCCTGGAACAGGTGAGGCTGCAGGTCCCTTATTTTGGCTGCTGGTCCCTTATTTTCAAATCTGTAAGTTGACAGCTATGCCTATACATAGGCCCAAAGTCATGATTGACTCGCTTCTGTGATTCCTCTATATATCACATTCAGAATGTAAGATCACACCAAACATCCATCTAGTCTGGCAGAGAGCCAAGTGCCTATGGGAAGATCATGTTGATTTAAAGCAGAGTCTGTCGTGGCCAGCGGAAGGATGAGTAATACGTGCTCCATACTCCATATAGCTTTATTTACAGTTCAAAGCTGGTATATTACAGAAAGACATCTTGCCTCTGCAGGAGCAGAGAAATGCATCCTCTCTCCTCGACAGCTTGGAGAGAAACACACAGACAGTGAATAACAGGAAACCAGTGTACGTCACATCCAGTCTCCCTTTCCCGTGAGAAACTCCAACAGTACAGACTGTGGAATGTAAAACAATGTCTTGTGACTGCAGTTGCTGCTCAGTGAGGGAAATAGAAACCAACATCCTCCCCTTTCTGTGAACATCACTGGGCAGCGTGTTCGTACAGTATCAGTACAAACCCAACTTCTGCACATAGGTACAGTGTTGATCCCTTGATACAATCTTGGACAATACATCAGCAGGAATTTCATTACCTGGCATATAGGACACCATTACGAGTCCCTTCTGAATACATTCCCTAGCATGCTGCAACTTTAATTGCAAGTGCTTTGTGCTTTGCTTACAACCTTCAGACTTCAGCAAAGCCAAACATGCTTTGTTGTCCTGGTAAACCTGGATTGGACATTTGACAGGAATTTTCATATCTTTGCACAATTGTACTAACCATTCACAATCCTTAAGTGAATAAGACAGTGCATTCAGTTCAGCTTCACAAGTACTTAAGCTAACTGTTGTTTGCTTCTTGCATGACCAATCAAACAGACTCTGATTGTACATGTAGCAAACTCCAGACGTACTTTTCCTGTCTGTAGTGTCACTTCCAAAACTTGCATCTGCAAATATCTCAAGACCACCAGACTTCTGATTGTTAAATCTCAGTCTGTAATGCATAGTGCCTTTCAAATACCGCGCTATGCGTTTCAGAGCTTTCCAATCCTTGACACTAGGATTGTTGACTTGTCTGCTTAGCAAATTACAGCTAACAGCAATGTCTGGTCTTGAACATCTGGCAATGAAGTTTAGCTTGCCTAGCACACTCCTGTACAGTGTAGTGTCAGAAAATGCTTCTTCAGTGTCATCTACCTGATAACCTGTTGTCATCGGTGTGTCTACAGGGTTAGCATCCATCAGATTTAGTTTGCTTAACACATCAGCAATTTTCCGTGACTGGTGTACTAGAATGTTACCATCTTGATCTCTCTCTATTTCCAGAGATAGGTAGTTGTTTACCTCACCAAGATCTTTCATGTCAAAGTGCTCTTTCAGTTGAGCTAGGGCGCTATTGTACATTGCAACATCTTTCCAAAAGAATAATAAATCATCAACATAAAACAAACAGTACAGTTTCTTTTGCCCCTCCTCTTTGACAAATACACATGGATCAGCTTTCCTTGCTGAAAACCTAGAGAAAACAATACTTCAGTGAGTTTTGTGTGCCAACACCGTGCACTTTGTTTGAGACCATAAAGGGATTTCTTCAGAGCACAAACAAATCCCTGTTTTACCTGTACGCCATCAGGTGGAAGCATATAAAGTGATTCATCTAGAGATCCGTACAGAAAAGCTGTATTAATATCATGGTGACTAATGTGTAGATTTTCCTCTGCAGCTAGCTTGAGCATAAGCCTAATGCTTTCATATCTCACTGTGGGTGAATAGGTCTCGTGATAGTCTTCACCTGGTACCTGTGCAAAACCTCTGGCTACCAATCTGGCTTTGTGTCTGACTATCTTGCCATTTTGATCTGTCTTCGCTTTGAAGACCCATTTGCTTCCAAGCAGTTTCATTCCTGGAACTACTGGAACTAGCTCCCATGTTTTGTTCCTTTCTAAGGAATCAAGCTCAGCCTTCATGGCATTTAACCATGGCTCAGCTTCCTTTGAATCCAAACCCTGGATTTCTTGGAAACTTGAAGGTTCAAATACCTTCTTGGAGCTTTTAACAGCTGTTACTGCTATCGTAGCAAACTCATCAGCAAATCTCTTTGGAGGTTTGCCTTTGTGGCTCTCTGTGACCTACGAATTAGCCTTAAGTCTTCAACACTCTCCTCTTCCTTCTTAGGAGAAAAACGACCTATTGTGAACAATGGTTCCTCCAATTCTTGATCAGAGCTTTCAGAGGGTCGCATAGAGGCTTTCGCACTCTTGAAATCCTCTGAATCACCCGATTCAGTTTCAGATTCAGACTCAGAACCTTCATCAGTGGGTGTGGGCTGTTGTGGTTGCTTTTGACTATCCTCAGTCTCATCACCGTCATCAGGATAACATTGGAAAATTCCCACATTCTCCCCCCACTTTGCATTGTACTCAACACTTCTCGTGAGCTTAATTGTCTTAGAGTCAGTCATCATTATTCTGTAAGACCCTTTCTGATAACCTAGAAAGATACCATGCAATCCACGCTTGTCTAACTTGGAGTTTTGTGGTGAGTGAACCCACATGTCAGAACCAAAATCTTCATGTGTTTGATGTATGGCTTCTTGCCAAACATCTTCTCATAGGGTACATCCAATCGCTGAAGATAACCTGCGATTGTAACTGTAAACAAAACACGAGAGAGATTCGGCCCAATAACTCTCTGGAAGATTGGCATCATGCAGCAAGGTTTTTAATCCTTGAAGCAATGTCTGATTTGCCTGCTCCGCAAGTCCATTCTGCCATGGCGAGCGAGGACTAGACAAATCGTGTTGAATTCCTTTCTCAGTCAGAAAAGCTTCAAACTGCTGAGAAGTGAATTCCCCCGCGATCACTGAAAAGAGTCTTTATCTTCTTACCATGCACATTTTCCAACCAAGCACAGAATTCCTTGAACCTAGGAAAAGCCTCCGATTTCTGCTTGAGATTGTACACAAAAATATATCTAGAAAATGCATCAATGAGAACCATGAAGTACCTATTTCCACCCAAAGAGGGCGTTAGTGGTCCAACCAAATCAGCATGAACAACCTGGTATGGTTCTGTAGCTTTCCTACTAGACACCTTACCTTTCGCAGCCATTTTCACCTTGTTTGCTGCGCATGCTTTGCACTTCATGTGGTACCTGCAGGGTTTAATAGTCATACCTTCAACCAAGGCAGGCATTTTAGATACTGCCTCAAAATGCAAATGACCAAATTTGCGATGAAAATCGTGAATACATTCTGCATGCAAACTTTTGTTAGAACCTGCAATGCAACAAGTGTCATCCTGCACCACATCATCATAATACAAAACAAACAAATGATCAACATATTCTGCATGCAATACATAATCATTTTTCTTTGTGATGATGCACTTCTTGTTCTTGAAGGAAACGTCAATGTTCCGCTCATTCAGCTGTCCAACGCTGAGCAGATTATGTTTGGCGTCTGGCACGTAAAGCACATTCTGTATCGATAAGTCCAAACTGTGAAGAACAACAGTTCCGTAGCCTTTACTGGGAATAGTGTGGTCATCCGCCTGGTGAATCGCACCTTCCTGCGGTGTAAAAGACACAAACAGTTTCTTATCGTTGCACATGTGGTGGGTCGCCGCTGAATCAACAACGAAGAAAGATCTAGACGTCTTCTGGACCTCTGCAACCTTTGGAGTGAAGCGTGAAACCATAGCCTTGTGCTGCGTTGTCCTAGACACCGGACCTTTGCCTTTGCCTCGGCCTTTTCCGCGCGATGAGCTTTCGCTGCGCTGCTCTGTCTTGGCCCTGGGATGTCTGCATTCCCTCTTCATATGGCCTAGACGTCCACACGAGTAGCATTTCACTGCCTGCAAAGCTTTGGCGCCATCTGGTGGTTCCACTGCACTATGGGATGACGTCTGTGAAGACTCCCCCTTGCCCATGCAGCCAGCACCCCGGCGATCTGCTTCATTTAAAATCACGGCAGTAACAAAGTCCACTGTCAGCTGAGCAGTTGGTTGCACAGCAATCTGGGTTGCAACAGACTCCCAACCTGAACCCAAAGATTGTAGTATCATGAAAGAATACACAGCCTCTGGAAAGTTGAGTCCTCTCTGTTGCAGCTCATGTCTCAGATTTTGCATCTCCATCAGATGTAAACGTACATCTCCACCTTCAGCAAGAGCCATATTATGCAGCTTGTTAAAATAAAACATAGTGGATCCAGCTTCTGTCCTTAAGTGAGCCTCTCTCAGAGCGTCCCAAATTTCTCTGGCTGAGGTCTTATCACGCAATAGACAGAGCTCTTCTGGGGATACTATCAATGTAAGAGTTCCCTTGCTTTGGAATCCTTAGCTTCCCATGCATCTGTAACTGGAACTGGGGGTTCCTGTAATCACCTCAAACAAACCCTCTTTCCGCAGAATTGCCTCTGCATACTGAACCCAGTCGCTGTAATTTTTCTTGTTGAGCTTAGGAATCCCACAAGCATCCTGAAGGGCCATCATGACTCTGGCATTAGCCTTCAGCGTCATATCTGTGCTGCTTTAAATCTTGCTGCGTCACTGCTGCAGCTGCCTCATTACAAAGGCACACTTAAAAGTTACTTTCGATTTCCCCAGCATAGTGACTTGTGCCTGGGAGCCTTTTGCCTATTCTCGGCAAAACCGGCTTTAAAAGTTCAAAGAGATCACAGGTAGGACCTGGGTGCAACACTATCATTCTCCCTAGCAATTGTTGTTCAGAGGCAATAGAGCGACAACACAGGTATCGCGGCTTAGTACCTGTGATAGCGTTATCCTCAATAGATTTGCCTGATCCTTTTTTAAAACCACTGGCGGAGAAGTCCTTCCTTCTGCATGTTCTGTATCTTCCAACATTCACCTTCATTGAGTGGACCTTTGCCCTCTGTTTCCATATCTGGGTCACAGCTGATAGTCAGCTTCATGATCTGAAATAGCC